AGTGTTTTCTTTATCTCGAAAAGTTCTATTTGATTCTTCCTGATTGTTTCAATCTCCCTGCTAAAAGACTCATTCCGCTCATCTAGTTTTTTTTTTTCAATTCCTGAAATTGTTGATATGACTCATTTAGGAACTCACTGAGTTTTTTCAGAAGTACCATCCTGAAGTACCTGTTATTTGTGTCGAATATTTCTATGTCTGTAAGCTTATTTTCTGAAGATTTTTCTCTTTCTTGTTGAGATGCCTTGTCGCTTTGGTTGTACATGGTGTTTAATGGACTATTTCTCTGCCTGGGCATTAATGAGAGTGTATTCTGCTTTTTTTCTGGAAAGTTTTATTGTATAAAAGTCTCTCTAGCTTGTTGCAATGGAGGCGTTTCGTTTTTCTTTTCCAGTAGGTGGCGTCTGAGCCTCTGGGATCCCTGTTTTATATAAAGTGTTAATAATGCCTTTTTTTTCCTTACACATAATCAATTAGGCTCACTACCCTCAGTCTCGGTCCTTGTCAGTGTCAGTGACAGTTTTGGTAGCATTTGCTCAAATTCCTCTGGGGCTCTGCGGTGTTCTGTCTCAGAGGATATTGGGGATGGGCCCTCTGGGTTGAGGGATGGGAGCTTTGTCTCAGCCTCGTGCTTTGCCACCACAGCTGGTAATAATGAACTCTTGTTTCTCTGCTGTCCTGCTTCTCTGCTTTCTACTCTGATGACTGAGCCCTGCCGCCTGCCTTGTGGCTCTCACAGCACTCACAGACAGTGCTGTTCAGGGAACCCGCCACACCTTCTCCCCTCCCCCTCCTCCTGCAGGGTGCTCCGGCTGCGAGAGGCAGCTTCTTTGTTTCTCCCAGTCCACCGCCCGGCACCCGGAGTTCTGACCTGAGGTAGCTCTTATGCACAGACACCACTCTCAGATGTGCTAGTGTGCAGTTTGGGTGTTTTTTGTTAAGTTTTAGATGTTTAGCTTATTGTGTTTCAAGAGAAGAGATCTGGGGACATCTCTCACTCTGCCATGTTTCTGACATCAATTCTCTCCATTTTTTTTTTAAATGATCTCCTTACATATCCAAGGACAAATATTTCCTTTGACAAGCTTTGGCATTGCTGAAGTTTGCTCTGTGATGCATGGTGATCTTCCTGATTGGAGAGGATAAGAAAAGGCATGGGCTTCTTTCATATTGGGAGATCTCACTATATAATCCTCTAAAGAATGAATGGACCTTGGTTGGGCAAATTCCTTAAGTTCTCTTGCCTTCTGTTTCCTCATACAATGCAGATAATAGAACCTACCTCATAGGAGCGTTGAGAGGATTAAATGAGTTAACACATATAAAGTGCTTATAAAATTCCGTGCCTGGCCTATAATAAACACTAAATAAATGTTATACTATTATAATTGATATTGTTACTAACCATATGTTGTAACTTTTTTAAATAAAATATTTTTCAAGCAGAATGCACAATTCCCTGACCATATTTAATATTCAGGAGCAGAAACTTGGAGATAAAAATGGCAGGAAAAGGGGACTATCCAGAACATGGTGCCATTTGGTGCCATCATAGCTGTCCCTGTCAGAAATGTCTCCTAAGTTCCCAGGGTCCTGTAGGATTGCAACCCTGCCAGCCCCCTGTCACCCTGGGCTCCACTCAACAGGGAGCTGTTCACAAGGGGACTCCCCCCACACTCCCTGTGCTTCTTTGCCAGCTGCATGAGAAGTTTGACCGTCTGAAGAAACTACACCAGGATGAAAAGAAGAAGCTGGAGGATAAGAAGAAATCCCTGGATGATGAAGTGAATGCTTTCAAACAGAGAAAGACAGCGGCTGAGCTGCTTCAGTCCCAGGGCTCCCAGGCTGGAGGCTCACAGACTCTGAAAAGGGACAAAGAGAAGAAAAAGTAAGTATGAGGCTGGTCTGGGGTGGTGGCTTCTTTCTCATCCTGCTCATCCCTTCAGGACAGGGCCTGGAGGCTGGGGGGACTGAAGGCTGATGACCAAAGGTGAGCTGTGGGCTGTTATACCACTTTGGGTAACTATAACTGGTCTCAGTGTTTCCCATAGGACCTTTGGATTCCCTGAATTTGGGAAACTGAGAGTAGGGGAGAGGTGTGGTCGCAGAGGCCCAGCCCTTCCTTTGGCCTGCTTAGGCAAGTTTTGCAAAGTCAGGTTGGAGGAGAGGGAGGGAAAGGAGAGGAAAAACAAAAAGAATGTGAGAGTGTAAAAGAAGAGAGGAAACAATGAGAGCTGCAAAGTTATAAGGGCAGATAGAGTGTAGTGGGAGAAAGAGAGTCTTCACAGAAGCCTCTAGGCATGCCCTTTCTCCTTGAGACGTTGGAGCTATTCGGGCTTACAGGCCTGATTGCTCGTTCTATATCTGAGGTGTTTACCTCTCTGCCTGTAGGCCATCCCTCTCTCTGCCTCAGTTCTCACTAGCTGCAGCCAGCAGAGTTTACCTGCTGCTGCTAAACACTGTAGCCCAGTTCTGATTTTTCACCTTTTTGCTGACTCTCCTCTTGACTGCTTAGTTGCTCCCGGCCGGGGGTATTGAGAACTTGGTGGGGAGCCCTCAGATGCTGCTATACTACAGGTGTCCCATCCTTAACCTGGGGAATGATCTCTCTCTCCTGGTATTCGGTAAGGCAGGATAGCATGGACTCCTGGCATGGGCCAATTATCCTGACCCAACCCATTCCTCATCCCAGAACCAGAGAAGAAAAAAACATTTCTGATGGCATGTATACAACAGCCAGCAAAAACCCAGTGGTCCCTTGTCCTCTCTAGTTGTTTGTGCGGTGTCACTCAGGGAACCCTCAGATGGAGTATTAGGCAGTGCCCTTATTAAAGGGGCCCAAGGATTCGAAAGATGTCTATGGTTCTTGCCCTCTGTTCTTAGCCACTTGTTACTGACTCAACTATTGGATATTTGCCAGAGTAGGAAACATCTTCCTTTCTTCTGTGCCTGGCTTATCACTTAGGAATAAAACAGTGACTTTTGTATTTTGTATACATCTTTATTCAAAGGTGTAAATTTGCACGTTTTCACCAATTAGACTAGAGATTTTTGTTATTGAACCATAACACTATATATCAAATTCGCTGACTAATTAACTTTTTCTGTTATTACCTGATGGATAAAGTTCGACTAGCCAAAAAAAGAAAAAAAGCCTCTTTGGACAGACTGTATGTTAGCTGATCTGTTATGGTGCGTTAGTTGTGCCAGCAGGCACGGATTCCTATTTTTAAGATCAGAAAGGTCTAAATTTGTCTTCTAGCTCTAATCTGCTGCCTTCGTAGTCCTTTGGTATTTGGTAACTTAATCCCTGAAGTAGTTGCACAGCCTGTTTGCAGGAATTATTGCAGATTTGTTTGTTCGGACCTCATTGACACTAAACTATAAATATTCCCTACTCAGATGTTCAGTAGAAATTCCACCCAGACCAGGTTCCCCCCCAACCCAAATTGCCTCAAATTACCTGACCCCTCCTCCAACCCCAGGCAGAAGACCCTATGTAGGCAGATACCTCTCTACAGTCTCCACAGATATTTGAGGTTGGTAACGGTACCCTTTTCCAATTTTGAGGTGGGTGAAGACCTTATTGGCATGTGGCATCTCATATTAACAATAAGGGCCTGACAAATAGACTGTCCTCTTCCATACTTCCAGATGTATAAGTGGCCCCAGGCCTGGGCTTCTTATATAATTCTATAAACAGTTAGCTAACTTCTGGAAGACCCATCGTGAGACCTGTATCACTCTGGTCCCATAGTGATGATGGCAGTGATATGGGGTTTGAGAGTAGAAGTGATAGTGGCATTTCTTTTTGAGAGACGGTGGTTGGATCTAAGAGTCACATATTCAGAATTTCCTTTGGCTGCCCTTAAAGAAGTTAAGAAAGAGTACTTATGTTTCAGGGGTCCCTACCAGCCCACCCTTTCCACTTCCCCTCCTGCTCCTTCTAATCTCCTTTGACCTCTAACTCTTCATTGTGTGAACTCATAATATTTGATTTCTCCTCAAGCTCACTCCATCTTCATCAGCTCTTACTGTTTTACAGTTAACTCTGCTGTTTGCTGCATGCTGCATGAGACCCAGGGCCCTGGTAAGCTTTATTAACTCTAAGTAGAACTGAGACTGGCTCCTAGAGCCACCTCCCCAAATCTTGCCCACTCCCCAACACAGATATCTAATCATGAAAGAAGCTGCTTCATTGTCCTAGCTGGCTTCTTCTTGTGACTTAGAACAATAAGAAATAGTCTGGTGTGGTTTCGAGTGTACATGTGGAATGTTTGCCTTCCTAATCAAAAGTGGGGTGTTTTCACACTTCTGCTGCTGGAACAGCTGGGTAGCATAAGTGGATCAATATTTAAGGTTTCAATTTTGGCCATTTTTTCCCCTAAAAAGCTGTAATCATTACTTTCAGAATTAACTAGACTGTAGTGAGGAAGGAAACTGTTGGATTCAGCAGCCCTGTCTCACAACATCGCAGTGGCATTGACCCCCAAGTCTGGGAATGTTCCATGCCAACCAAAACTTGCTTCTTTGTCTCCCTCTGGTGGCTATTTCTTATTGGAGAGGTTCAAGTTCTCAAGTTTCCTTTGGCTATGTAACCCCCAAAACCATAAGAGTGGAAGAAAATGAAGAGCTCTCAGATATTATAGAGAATTTCTTATGTTTAATTCTATAAGAACCAACTTCATGAATACCTAAATACCTACCTTTGGTAAAATAGATTCCTGAGGATTAGGTGTTGTTATATGTACAGAAGTGATTAAAGCAGTCCCTGGTGTCACGTAATTTGCAGGTTGATTATAGCAATGATTAAACACCTTCTATCTGTTTTATTAGACTCAGGTAGTAGTGAGGAAACATATATGTGTTTAATTTAACGCAGTTAGGCTTTAACTATTTTTAAACTTTACCATAGACACTTTCAAATAGGAACAAAAGAAGAGAGAGGGATAGCAGCCCAGTACAGCCTCAGGTACCCACAACCAAGCCCCCAAACAATTGTCAACATAGAGCCGATTCTGTTTCATCTATTACCCCAAACCTGCTGGATTATTATAAAGGGAAACCCACATCATTTCATCTGTAAATACATTAACATGTATCTCTAAGAGATAATGACTCTTTTTTAAAAAATCATTACCACAATGCCACCATTACTACACCTACAAAATTAACAATTCATTAACATAAAATTTCTAGTCAGTGTTCAGAATACCCTGGTTGCCTCATAAATGCCTTTACATTTGGTTTGTTTGGATCAGGAAATATTAAATATTGAGACAGTGTCTTCCCCACTCACCAATGTAGTTTATGATTTAAATGGAGAGCCTGCTGCTCATCACCAAACTGATTGCTGCAGCTATTGCACTGGAGGCTTCAAGCAGCTGGGAAAGCATCCTATTTTCAAGCAAATCCCAAAGAGGAAGTCCATAGAGGCTTATGAAACATAAGGCCCATGAAATTGGGCCAAAGGAAACAACCCTAAAAGAACAATGAAAAGATTTATTGTCTGGCTTAAAGGCAAGTCTTTAGAAGACCCTGTTAGCTCCTTGGCATTAACAGCAGATTTCCATTTAAGAAGATTATCATTTCATAGAGTGTCTGTCCACCACTGCAGTCCCAGTGCCTATTAAAGTGTACGATACCTGTAGAAGCTCAGTTCACATGTATCTTCATTGTTACTCCATTTTCACTGAGAGCAGGAAAAATGTATCCTGGTAATTTAGATTTCAGTTAATGAAACAGAATTAATGTGGTTTGACACAATTTGGTTCCAGTGTCCCTGAATAAATCATTGTTAGTGGCCATTACTATAATGAATTCTGGCAAAATTCTAATTAAAGCTTTACTTTATAAATGAGAGGCAATTGGCAAACAGTGGGAATAGCCAACCCTAACCCAAGTAGGTTAGCTTTTCCTGGCAGGCTTCTCTCCAGCAGACCACAAAAGCAGTTCCAAACCAAATAGGGGAGAGAGGCCTTGGTTCTCTAGGATCTGAAAACAGCAAAGGCAGCCTGTCCCCTCCACAAAGCCCTCATTCCTGGGGTGGATCACAAAGGCCATCTCTCATTAACTAGAGAGAGGCTTACTTTTCCTCACTGGTTTTGAAATTGCTAGTAGCTGTCTGCAACTGTAAGAGAAATAATTCTTCTCTGACCTGTACACAGTTGTAGATACTATATCTCAATGGATACTGGCCCTTGACCCTTGGGAGGTGCAAAGCATACAGAAGGGTGTACACATATCAAAATACATCGGCCTTCCTGTGAAGCCCAGAATATATGCCGTTGCGGTGTTGTTTAGGTTTCCCTAGGAAGTAGACGAAGAATAAAATAAGAGATGAACATTCATATAACATTCTAATACTCTTCAAAGTATTTTTCTATATATCTCATTTTCACCTTACACCAGTCCCACAAGGTAAAGAAGGCAGGAATAATCTTCATTTGACAACATGAGTAAATGAAGGAGCAGGAAATTTAAGAGATTTACCAAGAATCACACAGTGAGTTAGTGGCAGGACTGGAACAAGAACATAAAACTCCCAATTCTTGGTATAAATTGCCATTCGCACGCTTTGTGTGTGTGTGTGTGTGTGTGTGTGTTCACTCTGAGGAAGGGACTGTACAAACATACTCACATATGCATATGCTTTTAACTATCCCTCCTAAATATCTAACAGTCTTTAATGAGATAAATGTATTCATCGGGTAAAATCAGGGGCTTAGATGCACAGCCAAAGAGTTCTTCGGGGCAATGTGGTGTGGTTAAGCAGCTAAGGGATTCAGGCTCTGGTTCTGGCTATGACTGTTTCTTTGTGAGCATGGGCAAGACAGTTAATTTCTCTGTTTCTCAGTTTCCTCATATGTCAAATGAGGATCGATACTGCTTGCCCTGTTTTGTCACAAGGATGAAGTTTAAATGTAAGAAAGGTTAAAGTACTATGTGAACACAAACCAATAATGGATTTCCATAGTTCAGGTTTTTAGGTAACTGTGGTCTGGACCATTCGTAGACACTTCGCAAACAGCCCTGGGGTACCAGTCGACTGACTGGGACTGCTCTGAAAGCTACCGGGGGTGAAACCTCAGTCTCCTCTGCTTTCTCTATGGGACAAGGCAATCTGTAGCTGAGAGCCTGGTGCTCAATCCAGTGGTCTGAGGCCACCTGGAGATTTGCTGAAGGTATTCCTGCACAAGGTGTCTGGGTGGGGGTCATTAGTCAGGACGTAGCAATTAAAAAGAGAGAAAGTATTCTGGAGGCTGTTGATAATTACTTTGCTAGCTAATATCACTACTGCTGCCACTCAGAGGTGTGTGTGGATGTTTGAGCGAGAAAGCGTGTTCCCAGAAGCCAATGCAATAGGACCTTAAGACTGTCTAACATAGCTATATATTCTAATTTATCCATTAGTCATCACGAAAAACAATTTTCTTCTAACCTTTTTTTTTTTTTAAGACATTAATCCATCCGTTCATTAACCCAACTTCTCTTTTTATTTTCAGTTTGGGCTTCCTGTAGACGCCCTCTTCCTGCACAACAGAGCTGGGCCTCCCTTTCTCTAATTACCCTTTAACACGTCTGGGGCTTAGAACCCGTGCCTTCTCCTCTCTTCCTGCT